CAGCAGTAGGGAGGCAGAGGCAGAGTCAGGAGGATCGCTGTGAGTTCCGAGACCAGCCTGGTCTACATAGAGATCCATGTGCCTCCGCTTCCCGAGTGCTGGGCTTAAAGTGTTCACCACTGTACCCAACTTCTACCGTATTTTTTGAGACAAGGGCAGTCAATGGACCTGGAACTCTTTGGTTGCCTGTGCCTACCAGCTGCACAGTTAGCCCCAGGAGCCTCTCATCTCCACTTCCTAGAGCTGGGACTGTAGGTACACACTACCACATCCATTCCCCCCCCTCCTGGGCACTGGTGAAAAACACAAGTTCTCACAACTGCCTGGCAAGCACTTGACTCACTGGGCAACTTGATTTGCTCAGCCCTTCCAGTACCATTTTTAAGCAAACCATGTTTCATATAATTTGCCCTTAAATATTTTAGCGAATACCTTGAAAAGATATGGCACTAAAATAATTGCAAATGGTTATGCATTAACCTTTCAATGTATTATTGTATGAATTTTAGAGCATGTATAGATTTGTGTAATCACCACAATCAAGATATAGGTTAATTTTACCACCTCCGAAGCTCTTTTGTGCTTTCTTACTTTACAGTCTCAATCCTTTGTTTTTCAGACAAAAATAGGTCCCTTGTATAGCAAAGCACATCTAACCAGTTCTCACCACCTCCACTGCTATTGCTCTGACCGAGGGAGGCACCTCCATATTTTCTGCGGATTCCTGCAGTTGCATCCTAACTAATCTCATTTCCACCTCCATCCTCTTCCAATTACTTTAATTGTAATCAATGTATTGATTTAATTAAATTCACTTTTTTTTCTTAGGGGGGTATCTCACAATGTAGCCTTGGCTGACCTGAAATTCACTATGTAGACCAGGCTGGCCTTGAACCCACAGGTATCCGCCTGCTTCTTCCTCGAGTGCTGGGGCTGGCTTCCATCTATTACTTTAGCACATTGTGCCGCTCCCCTGATAGAAAACCTCCACGGCTCCTCTGGAACACCCTCACATGTCTGTCTAACATCTCTGCTCCCTCTTCAGTGTGCCAGCTCCTGGGGGGAACAGTCTCTGTTTACTGAGGCATCCTAAGTGCCTTGAACAGTCCGAATAATAAAGAGGTAAGAAAGGGCTCTGGGAAAAATACACAAAAGAAAATGTAATCACTGCTGCTGGTAAGTGAAGAAGTCTTGCACTCCCTGAACACCAGGGAGCTAACTGTTCGGCAGACATGCCAGACTTCCCTGGTGGAGCAGACGCTACAGGCTTCATGTGGCAACAATTCCCCTTGCCCTCCAGTCCCAGGGGGGCGTCTAGTGAGGGATGATTCATTGAGGCTTGGACGGACACTGCTCACACAGAGGGCCTGCATCATGGCTGAGTCATGCTAATCCAAGGAAAGCTCTGATTTTATAAGGGGACCGCTATCAAACCTGCCTAACCTCTGCCGCACGAGGAGACATAATCTTTATGATTCTGGTTAGGGAACAAACAGATCTTCTCTAGGGAGGAAAAAGAATTCTCATTGCTTCATTATCACTGGAGAGGCAGCCTCTAAATCTCTGCAGAGGGAGTTGCTGTCTTTATAAACAAACCTGCCCTGGGCCCTGGAGGAAGAGATTAGCTTCTAGGGCTGTTTGCAGCCTGGGGAAAAAGAAAGAAAGAAAGAAAGAGAGAGAGAGAGAGAGAGAGAGAGAGAGAGAGAGAGAGAGAGAAGAAAAAAGAAAGAAAAAAGGAAGAAAAAAGAAGAAAGAAGGAAAGCTGGAGATGGCTCAGTGGTTAAGAATGTGGTCTGCTCTGGTAGAGGTCCTAAGTTCAAGATCTGGTTCCTAGCACCCATGTCAGGTGACTCATAAATGCCTATAACTCAACTCCAGAGAGATCTGATGCCTCTGGCCTCTGCAGGGCCATGCACTCGTGTGAATACACTGACACCAATACACAGACACATGACTCAAAATGATTTTTTAAAATCGAAATAAAAAGCTGGGGTAGGGTGGTGGTGGTGGTGGTGGTGGCGGTGGCGGTGGCGGTGGCGGCGGCACACACCTTTAATCCTAGCACTAGGAGGCAGAGGCCGGCGAATCTCTGTGAGTTCAAGGCCAGCCTGGTCTACAGAGAGAGTTCCAGAACAGCCAGGGCTACACAGAGAAACCTTGTCTTGAACCCTCTCTCCCCGTCCCCCGCAAAAAAAAAAAAAAAATCTAAAAAAGTAAAATAAAAAAGCTAGAGGGTTAGCAAGATGGATGGATGCTCTTCTCTTCCAGAGTACCTGAGTTCAATTCCTGGTGGCTCATAACCACCTGTGACTTCAGTTCCAGGAATGGATGCCTTCTTCTGGCCCTGTGGGCACCATGAATACATGTAGTTCACAGACATGCATGTAGACAAAACCATCACATAAAAGTAAAAAGCCAATAAGGAAGTGCATGCCTTTAATCTTATCACTGGAGGCCTGGGGTGGGGGACAGAGGCAGGTGGATCTCTGTGAGCTCAAGGCCAGCGGGTTTACAGAGCCTTCCTGGGGGACACAGTTAGATAATGACTTTAAAAAATGTAAGTGCATAATTTATTATTTATTTTTAAGACAGGATCTTACTATGTAAGTGGAGATCTGCAACTCACTATGAAGACCAGACTAACTTTGAACTTACAGAGACCCTCCTGCCTCTGCCTCCCAAGAACTGGGATTAAAAGTGTGTACTACCATGCCTGGCTGAATTACGTTCTTTTTAATGATGTGCACATGGTATCTCATGACATTCTGTTTTTGTTTGCTCATTTGTTTTGAAAAAGAGGGAAACAGAGAGACTATGTAAGTGTGTGTGTGTGTGTGTGTGTGTGTGTGTGTGTGTGTGTGTGCTTGCCTTAGTGTGGCAAAGGACAACCTGCAGGAATCAGTTCTCTCCTTCCACCATGTTGGGTTCCAGGAGTTGAACTCAAGACATCAGGCTCAGTAGCAAGCTTTACCCACTGAGATACCTTGCTGACTTGACATTCTCTCCCTTCCTTCCTTCCTTCCTTCCTTCCTTCCTTCCTTCCTTCCTTCCTTCCTTCCTTCCTTCCTCCTCCTTCTCTCTCTTTCTCTCTTTCTTTTTTTCTTCCTTTTTTAAAAAATAATACCAGTAACTCCAGGGTTTGAATCTCCAGAACTCATTT